ATGTGGACAAGCAACAGAGATATAAACCCATTGCCATGTATGCCTGTGTGTCCCACTTCACTTCCGAGACTTGAGACCAAATATGGCGAAACTGGATGCCACAGAATGTCGTTATTCATTCACTGGTCTGATCTAGTTTTCTGTGCAAGACGCATCTTCATTACTCACGTCTGAATTGTAAGTTGTTAAAGAGGGTTGCTTCTTATGTTTCTCTGGCCTTTGGAATCCTTGATGTGAGTGTATGAAGCTCTTAGTGCAGATTGAGGTCAGCAGTCAGCAGGTTTTTCCGATTTTATCTTCGTAGTTCCAGGAAGCAGAACCAGTGTCTTATGTATGCACTTTATTGCTATCAGCACATAAAATGCTTTAGCAGCAGTATGAAAGGAAGCAAGCTACTGACCGATACCAGGAACCAGTCCTTGTAAAGCTGATATTAGCTCAGCCATTCAAATGTCCTACCCATGAGAAACCAGAAAGTTTGTAGCTAAGTTCCTAAGCTAATTGAATCCTGTTCACGTCCTTTACACATAGCTTTTTAGAGCCATTTTTAGTATTATCCCTACATCAGGGCTTCCAGGTGATTTCTTCCATTCAAGTTTGAGAATTGAAACTTCGTGTACATTTCTCTTATTTTATTGACTGGATTTATGTAGCTGTTGCACTCTTGGCTTTTATTTGGTAGGTGCTCGGTTCAAGTCTCGGCTACCCTGACTGAGGTTTGTTGTGATTTTCCTTAGTCTCTTCAGGCGTATGTGGAGTCCATGACCACCTTGGGTCAAAACCTTTCAGTTCATTATTTCTCTATCATTCTGCCATTTGATGCTGTGGTCTAGCTAATCATAAAATGACCCACAAAAGAATTCTTTTTTACCCCCTGTGTATTAACATATTCCTCGTTCATCTCATATAATCTTGATTTGATCAAAGTAATACTACTCAGTGAAGAGTACAAGTTATGAAGCTCCTCAGTATGCAGTTTTCTCCAACATCCTGTCACTTCTTCCCTGTATTAGGTTCAAGTGCCCTCCTCAACACCCTGTTCTCAAACACCAACCATCAGTTGCGACGTTCTTCTTTCCATAGATGTAGTTACACACACACGCAGTGGCAAGTTACCATAGTTAAACCGTCATTTGCTTTTGACTTGTAAGTTGTAGGATGGCAAACCTGAATAGATGTGACTTGATAAGGGATATTTGTGGCTTTTGTTGTTCTCTGCCCTTTCTCTCCTGGCAAGCTGGTTCCCCTTCATCCTGTGACTGCAGCCATTATTAGGTTATCAGCACTTAGGTGTTGTCCCTTTCGAGCATGAAGTGTATCTGTTGTAGCTCCTGCTTCATAGAAAACATAATGTGTCTGTTACAAAAACCAACAAGTTAATGCTGTTTAGGGAAAATAATATTTCATGCGAGAATCATCAAACATGAACACAGTGTGTGGGCAGAAATGCGGGTATTTGTAATATTAAAGCTGGTGGTTGGTTTAAGTGTTCCATGGCATTTGCACCTTGTGTCATGGAAAATTCTATATGTTAAATTGAGCTTGAATGGAATATGATCAGTGGTTGATTGGCCATAAATATTAAATTAAATTGATTGCTTATGCAAGAGAGATATCAGTGTGCCAGGCAGTGTCCAGACATGGTATTCAGGTCAGCACTAACTTGTTACAGACATGGCATGTGTTGACTGACATCAATAACTCAATTTTCATCAAAAGTGGAAGTAGTCATTATGACTCACTCCAAGGCATATGTGGATTTTACCATAATCAGCCTTGCCTTTTGATGTAATGGTTCCCTATGCATATACTCATGCTACAGTGTAACCCTCTAAGAAACAGCTGTAATAAGGAGTGCCACCTGCTGGACCCAACAAGCTCGTGCAAGCTGTAACACTTGTAACTTGATGGAAGGTGCCCTGTTTCAAGTATTGGCTGGGACATCGACCACCATGACAGATGTCATTGTTTTCTTCAGCCCTTCCAGACAAAAGTCTTAAGATATCATCTTAATATTTAGACTGTGATACTTTCTTCAAATTCATTACTCTTTCAGCCATTTGGCACACTATAGTCAGAGTTACCAACAGTGTGTTACTAAATAAACTACAAATAAATGAAACTCACTACATTTTGCCCACACAGTGTGTTTCATGTTTGATATGATCCTCTCAAACAGCGTTACTGGTTGGTCTTTGCAATGGATAGATTTTGTTGAGTTTTTAAATAATATGCAGTTAAGTGTAGGCTTCAAGGGGTTCAGAAGGGTAAAGCTATCCATGTTAGATACCATAGGGTTGTGAGATGTCGAGGCTTCTGCATTTTTTAGACAGTACGCAGATGGTGGTGAGGTCAGCGTCACACGTTGGCTGCCCATTACACCCAGGAAGATTCCTGGTACTCATTTCTGTTAGAGGCTGAGTCAACCTCAGGGCCATAATGTGGCTGGAAAGATTAGGTCAATTGAAAAATCCATTGACCTCATTGGGAATCTAACCCGCGACCTTCCTGGCTTGTGGCACAGTGCCTCAACCAACTCCATCCTTATGTGCGTCTTTTCAAGTGTCCTCAAGTATTCTAACGTACATCAGCTGATTTCGTAAGAAGGCAACGTGGAGCTGCGTAGCAAGCAGGAAAAGGACTAAATGTATCAGAACTCTTTGCCAAACTGTCGAGACTTCTAAGCACGTGACATTACATGAATGCTCGTCAGTAACAGACTTCAGTACAGCTGCTCAGATGCAGTATCGTTGTCTGATGAATGATTTGTGACGGACAGCATAATGAGGCTGCGGTGCAATAAAGCGAAAGGTTATCACACACATGGGTCATTGGTACTTGGTAATGAGCTAATTTCTTCTTTAAATTGAAAAGTTAATATTCAGTAGGTCTCTTTGATGTCACCGTGTGTAGAATATCCTTGTCTGCTGGCTTCATATGTAGCATTCAGGAAATGAGTTTGTCGATGGGTATGCCATCTACTTCGGAGAAATCAGCTGGGCCACTTTGGATTTTAATGGAAGTTTCTGAGCTTTAGATGAACAGGAATGAAGGGGCTAAACTGCGAGTTTTTTTTTTTTTTTTTTNTTTGCAGGAATTGAAAATTCCATTACATTTTTCCAGTAATTGGTGTCACTTTGCTTCTATTTGAATTACAGAACTCATTTGAGGTTTATTTTATAGCCAATAAACCAATTTACAAGTGAGTCTCACATGTTTAGTTCTAACATAGATCATTTTCAAGGCCACCATAATTGACTTTCAGCCATCCAAAGGATATTTTAGAAAAATATATGTTTTGGGTCCATCCTGCCCCCCGTACCCCCGAGTACCCTGGCAGCATACAGTACTATCATTAGGTATTCTATAGTATATTTATGTATGTGATATATCATGTAACATTGGATCCATGGAAACATTGCAGTTTGAATGAGATTGTGATTATGTTTTTTATTTACAAAAGTTCTTACTCACCGTTGTAAATCGTACTTTCTTTTTGTATATTGTGTGTGTATGGATCTTTTTCTTTGTCCTCTCTTCTGGCATTTCTACATCCTCCTTTTCTGCATACAGAAATTGCAGTTTTGAAAATAATGGACATTGTTCAACTATACTGAAAGAAGATTAATGTAGATACTCGTACATATGCTAGAATATTAGCCCACAGAAACCTGCTGCAAAGGACATTTTGGTTGCTAATCCACTGCAGACCATTACAAGGCAGCAACCATTTTGTAGAACCCTTGTTCTTATGTGCTTTTATTATTCTTGCCCCATGTAGATTTTGTGTCATACTACGATCTAGATACCTTTGTTGGTTTTATTTTATAAAGTCCTTACTTGATTCCAAAAGCAATATATTTATACAGTAGTAGTGGTAGGAACACTTGATTTCTTTAAATGTCACCCTTCATGGGCTTGCAGCTGTATTGCAAAGGAAGACCACACAAGAGCATAAGACTGCTGCTGTCTTGATGGGAAGGTGCAGTACTAGTGCAGTTGTAGCGCAAGCTTAAAAAGAGAATACTAGAGACATGCTACAGCTGTCTCAGCAGAGCAGCAGGTCGGGTCCTGGACACAGCGTTAAATACACGAGATGTCTTGCAAGCATGCATTGATATGAACTTAGGACTTGCTATTGTGAAGGTTTCTAAGACTTTTGTGATGTGACTATGTATGTTGTGTAGTTATAGGCCTGGCACTTCTCTTGTGAATGGTAGTTGTAGCGTTGGTAATATTGAACTTGTCTTTGCTGTGGACTCACTCTCATTCTGCAGTTGAGTTTCTGGAATATTATTTATTGTTACGCTTTTTTTTTTTTGTGATACATTCTACGCACTATTTAATATTTCTGTGAGACCGGGCGTTATCCAACTGCTTATGTAAGGAGGTGGATGGAAAGCCAGTTCAGAAGCATGCACACTTACTCGTATTGATAATAAAAAGCTTTATGTAGCGCGTAACTTTGAACATTTTCTACCCTGAAATATTCCAGAGAGTAATATAAAGACCTGTATGAGATTTGAGGTTTTCACAGTGGTGAAGATTCATCTTGTTCGTGGTCTTCTGGGATGTGATACCATGTAGTCTGGTAGGTGGATACCAACGTTTTTGGAGAAACGCGCTAATTCCATCTTATGGCCTGAAGATGGAGACACTGTGTTCCTCTGAAACAGTACACAGATCTACCAGACTGTATGGCATCACATCCCCAGTGACTGTCATCTCTGAGAGCCGCAAGTCCCACAGTTTCTGTAAGTCCTTGTAGTAGTATAAGGGAATGGTGTGGGGCTGCTGTAATTGAGCAGGTAGGTGACCCCCGATAGAGACTGCGGAATGTGGCATGGAGATGGTTGAGTCCATGGGATAGGCAAGCAGATGATAAGTGCTGCTGCAGTATGCTACAGTAGTGTTGAATGCTGCATGAATCTCATAATGCGTCTTGTTTCCTTTTTTTTTTTTCTGTTGCATATGTTGGGACCACTGCATGCCCTCTACAGGCACCCAGCCCGGCACTCATCATTGTAAGTACCACTCTCTGTCTGCCTTTCTGTCATTGGAACTTACTCTTGTACAAAGGCCGTAGTCACAGCAGCAGTGTGTAAAGCATGCACTTGCCTGTACAAACAGTACCTAAAAGGATTTTGGAATATGCGTAAATTTTAAGGGAAGGGCAGTGTTCTGTCAGACGCACTTCGGTTATTTTATACTTAAAGATATTTTTTGTTTTTATGTACTGTAAATGTTGGTTTTCATATTGGGAACTTGTACAAACAGCAATGTAGGAAAAGTATATACACTCATTTCAGTCCGCAGTTTCAGAAACATATGCATGGATTGTCAGTTTTTAGTTCAGCGACATTTTGTTAACTGTGAAGACTACTGTTTCATGCGTCAGAAGTTCAGTTCTTTGTATATAAGTAAGATTCGTCAAAAACATTTTAAGTAGATCGGAGCAGCATATTCTGTAATGTTCAGTGTTGTAGTATGCATGTAGCCATCTTTCCAGGGTCTTCCAAATTAGTGATGAAGTTGGTTAATAATTCCCATAACATTCCAATCTGCCGTCTTCTCTGTGTATTCTAAGTATAAGTTTCAGTGAACTGCTGTACTTTTATTACAAACTTTAGTGGTCACAGTGTGAGCCTTCACCCGTGAAAACACGCGTTACAGTTTTTCCAGGTAACTAACATGACAAGTTTGGACAGGCCTCTCAACACCCTCCACCCGCTGACAAAAATTGTTCATGTTTTGAAAATTTATTATAGAATTTCAGTGCAGAATCATCACTGGCCTGCTTAATATAAATAGGAATGCAGGATTTTGCATTTGTAATTTGGGACAGCGTACAGCCCTGATGATCTTAGTGTCATGATCATCATCACCACCACTGTCCATCTCAGAACATACTTTTGAGGTGTAAACCCTTCCAAGTATGGAAGGAGGGTTCACTTGTAACCTGCTCTGCATTGTGAAGGACAGTCAGTAGCCGTATGAGGTACCTTCCAGTTTTCGAGCCAGGTCATGGATATTCACAGAACTTGGTATGAATGTCTTGCCACTGGAGAGAGGTTCCCTTGTACTGCCTGCAGCTGATTGATGATAACCACAAAAAATTATGAGGTGCGAGTGACATTGGCGTGGGTTAACAATGCAGGGCCCTGAAATTGTGTACCTTTGAAAAACTTGCAACCTTTGTTAAGATAATTATTTTAGAGAATCGTAATACAACAGAATGGCAGCTTAATTGAAACTGTAGTTTTATTTTGGCAATGACTGATGAACAGTTCTTGCTAAGTTTGTGAATTTTGGCATGATAGGTCATAGCTGCAAATTCTGTGAGATAAAATATATGTACATATGTGTGTCAGTAATTACAAACATGGCAATGGTGCAGTGTTTTGAGATTTTGTCTATGAAATTGATTATCACTGGTGTGGTACCACCAGCACTGCTGTCATCATCACCTTCTTGTGGTACTGTAAATATCAGCAACAGTGAGTGTACTGTGTACTCCACATATCCATCATGAGATTTTTGTGGTAATTTGCTGGGAGGTAAAAACGTGTTAGCCTGATGGCGTTTTCTAAGCAGAAATCTAAGAAACACTTTGTTGTTTAATTTCTGCCTGTATAAGTGTTGCTCATAGCAGCACGCAAGAAAACAAAAGGAGCAACAGAGTAATATCTTTTCCTTTCTGTTCCATGCTCTCAAATAGTCAAACCCAAATTTTGCGGTAGGTATTTGGTGTTGTGTTGCATAGATGTTTGAGACAGTTTGTTGTGGTGTACATGTTTGTATTTCCCTTGGTATGGTTTTTGCGCTCTTGAATACAGTGTTTCTGTGTCCATTGCTTATGTACTGGAACAGGAGCCACACAGTCAGGGCAGGCTGAAACATTGTGACTCTTTGTGTGTCTCCCACTGTTGACTGGCCTGTAGCATTCTTTATTGTCTTGTCGCTCCAGCCACTTACTAATAAATAGGCGCCACGCCATAGCTCAAGCAGTTAGTCCCTGGCTTCCCACCACGGTGGCCCAGGTTCAATCCTGGGTCTGGTCAGGTGGGATTTGTGGTGGACAAAATGGCACTGGGGGCAGTTTTTTTCCCCTGCCAATCTTCATTCCACCAATCGCTCCACAATCACCCTCACCTATCATCTGGGGCTGGTACAATAGGCCAGAAGTGGCCACAGTACAAGGGACTTAGTCCCACCCCACTAGCAATAAAAAAATAGTAATAAATACATTTCTTTGTGGATATGGTTTATATTAACCATGGAAAGTTCTCCTCTTCTTCCTTCATCCTTTCCTTTCCCTTTCTCTTCTGCTTTCCATTTTCTTTCCCTTCCCTTCCCTACCTCACCTCACCTCACCTCACCTCACCTCCCTTGGCATTTCCACATTTATGTGGATCATCTCACAACCAAGCCCCCCTCTATATCTCTGTCTGCCAGAAACTTTATCACTTTCCTCTTGTGTTCTTCTCCCTTCTGTGTGGCTTTCTTTATAATCCCATTTGGCCTTAACCTTCCTCTTAGGTGTTTGCCTTCATGTGCAGATCCTTCTTTGGGATTCTGGTCAGCTTTGTTCTTAAAATGTGCCCATACTGTCTTGCTCCGTTCTTAATTGAATTGGCCTCCAAGCCTTTATCTTTAAATTCTCAAATTTGTGTGGTTCATATTCTGTTCTGATTCTTCCTTCTCCGCTTCCTGGAAATCTCATCTCATTTGCAGACCTAATATCTGCCTTCGTCCATGCACATTCCATATGCCCCTGTTTGTGCCCCGTCCAGGGATCTTATCCACTGTGTATTTTCTTGCTAGATATTTTTAACTGTAAAGGTTGATTTGTTATGCACTTGCTTTTATCAGCAAGCAGAAGCACTCATTCTTTGTCTGGGACATTGTTGCTTTCCTTGACATTATCACATTATATTAGCTCGGATTTTAAAAAAAGAACAATAAATACCCTAAGTAAGAAATGAAAGGTTTAAAAATCTATACTGCAACACTTGCACATCATTTAACAGCCAGTAGTACAGAGTAGATTTTGTAATGTCTTAGGATGTTCCCTGTTCAGTCCACAATAAGAAAACGGAAAAGAAATAAGTTGTATTTCTGTATCTCCTAGATAGATACGAGAAGTTTCTCTGTCCTGCCCTGGTGTGGCAATGTAGAGCTTATAAGCTTTTTAAGCTTCAGAAAGAAATGCATGACCTGTGTAAACAGTTCAGTGCCTTGTGTTCTGTTATCAGATATTATATATAATAAAACAAATTCCTAAGATGTATTTAATGTTTTTGGACTTCGAGCCCCCTTTGCTTTTAACTACAGAAAGTAATTACTTACTAATTTTGTTTGTAGTTTATGATTCTGTCAGCGCACACTGTGTAGTGTCCGACGGTCGGATGGATAGTGAATAATGAATTGGAAAGGATGTGAAAAGAAGGAGTTGAGGTACTGTCTCAGCATTCATCTGGAGGGCACCGGCCTTCTTCTGGCTGTTTAAATGTACAAGAAGTTTTGTGGTGTTTCTGCTGTGTTTTGCTCTGTTTGTGATACATGCTAATGTGGTCCTACTTTGCAGGGTGAGCTGGAGCAGCAGTTGCTACAGGCAAACCCAATTTTGGAAGCTTTTGGCAATGCCAAAACTGTTAAGAATGACAACTCTTCGCGTTTTGTAAGTATGTACAGCGGGAATAATGCAGTCCAGTTTTATATTTTGGTAACAGTTATTTGTGAAGTATATTGGTTATGCTTTTGGTGTTAGAAATGACTTCATGTAAACATATATAATAAGATTTTACATTTTGACAGAGGGCAAGATTTATCCCTGAAGAAGGAGGCGGCATTTTCCTCCAAAATGTTGGTACCCATCAACCAGGCTAAACAGCATCACACCACGGTAGACTGTAATCTTAATAGTAGAGTAAACCCTTCCTCTCTGATATATTGGGTTTTTGAACTTCATCCATCGTCCTGGTTTTTAAGATAACTAATAAAAACACGACGTTTCGGAAACTAGATCTATTTCCTCCTCAGGTGAAGGAAAACACCTATTCTGTTGGGTCCGTTAGAAAGAGCTAGCCTCAATCACATCAGTTTGTCCAGTGATTGAGGCTAGCTCTTTCTAACGGACCCAACAGAATAGGTGTTTTCCTTCACCTGAGGACGGAAACAGATCCAGTTTCCGAAACGTCATGTTTTTATTAGTTATCTTAAAAACCAGGACGATGGATGAAGTCCAAAAACCCAATATATCAGTGTGTTATATACACCATCGTCAGAATCCTGTAGTAACTACCTTCCTCTCTGGGTTAATTGGGGGGGGGGAGGTCACCCTAAAAGATAAAAAACTTAGAATGCAAATAAATGGAAAATTTAATGATATAAGTAGTGCTGATGAAAATAAATAGAAATATCACTGTAAACCTACAAAACTATAAGGAGACAATACATTTGATCATTGATAGGAGACCCACTTGTACTTGTTTTTGAACGTAATGATGCAGGTTTGAAGGAGCCAGTGTCTTTTTTTGTAATATGTACTCAGCTGTGAGCAGCATTTTTCATATTTTTATCCAGATTATCCAACATCTGAATTATTGTAACCAAATTAGCAAGGGTTTGCTGTAATTGCTGTGAAAATATAAAATCTATAATATATCGTTAAAATTCACCTCAATATTGTTTTTAAAACATATTTTGATGTTGTGAATATTTAACAAAGCACAAGGAGAAATTTTTCTGTTGTGTACATATGTTGTCAGTAGCTTTGTAACATGGTTTACAACAATAAATATCTAATGTCAGTAGCATTTCAGCAGTAGATATCTGATCTTAGTAGCCCCACAGCAATAGATATTTACAGTGTTGGTAGTTCTGCAGCAGTAGATATGTAACATTAGTAACCTTGCAGCAAGCAGTAGATGTTTGCACGCAGTTAATGAACACTGAGGCCAGAGAAGTTCACGGAATCTCAGGAAAATATTGGACTTTGTCTTCACATTCAATTGCTTATCAGGTGTTCAGGTTTTTGGTTTTCCTGGTGTGACAAGTTTGTTCTTGCGCAGGGTAACATACGCAATGTAAGTAATGGCCCTGCTTTTTTCAGGGGAAATTTATCCGTATCAACTTTGATGCTTCTGGTTATATTGCGGGAGCAAACATTGAGACGTATCTGCTGGAAAAGTCCCGTGCCATACGTCAAGCCAAGGATGAACGAACCTTCCACATCTTCTACCAGCTTCTGGTTGGAGCATCTGCAGAACAGAAAAGTAAGCCTAGAAGATAATTTCTTGAGTAGGAGTGAGAGGGAATGAAAAAAGGACATAAAGAACAGACCATTGGGGCACCTGGCCCAGGGTATGGTCTAGCAATCAGCTCTTGTGGACATAGTAATTAGCCTTTGGTTTCATGGAATGCTGGGAATTTCCCCTCTAGCAGATAGAACTCTGCTTCATGGAGTTAATGTGTTTAATTCCCTTGATTAGAAACCATATATGAAAGCCCAGGGCTTGCCATCATGTAGCTACAGAGAGGACTGCTAGACTACAGGGAAGGCACCAGTGCTTCACTTGACTTTACCATCTCACCCTTTACATAAAATTAATTCCCACAGTTGGTAGTTTGCATATTCAGTGAAATCTTGCTTTAATATGTATCAGAGTGGACCAGTGGAATGGTTATTGATCTGTGGAAACTGTAGCTGGAAATGGGAACTGTTTATTGATCTGTGGAAACTAGCTGGAAATGGGAACTGTTTATTAATCCGTGGAAACTGTAGCTGGAAATGGGAACTGTTTATTGATCCGTGGAAACTAGCTGGACATTGGAACCGGTTGCTTTGACGTTCATGTGCGATTGTTGCATTTGTGATCATATAGGAAGGGAATACTACAGAATCTCTATGGTAGTAATGTAAAAATAATGGCTATCAGTGAAATTGTTAAACTGTCTGTTTATTTTGTATGTGAAGGCCAAGTCAGTTGACCAGCGAGTGTTTTATATTTGGTCAATTTGTGACTGAAATGAATTGTAGATAGGAGGTTAATTTTTCTGATGATGATATTTGTTAACTGTTCCTTTTTTATTAGACCTACACAGAGTTGTGTTTACGTTCTTGCAGAGGAGTTCATCCTGGAAGACCCCAAGTCATATGCATTCCTGTCCAGCGGAGGCCACCTTCCCGTGCCTGGTGTGGATGATGTTGCAGAGTTCCATGCCACGTGCAAAGCCATGTCCATCATGGGAATGACAAATGATGACTTTTCTGGTAAATTTTGATGAGAGATTTTGTATGTTAGACACACAGAGTGATTCAGTTAAACATAACACTTCCTCAAGCGGTACATGGTAACGTCCCTGCTGTTATGGATTGATACAGCCCTCAACCTTCCACTTTTCGTTCTGTCTGTGGTATCTTGGCAACTGTATTTTTCCCTCAAACATATTTATATATTCCATATGATTACATTCGAGCGATTATATCTCTGAGCAGTATTAACCAACCAGTTGGGCTTTTTAATGGAGATTTGTATTTTAAGTGTGCAGTAGGAACTGAAGTTTTAAATATTGTCACGTGTATCTTCTCAGTCTGCTGTGTCTTCGGTAGTCCTCAATATCGCGTTCATGCCCTTACTTGCCGGTGAATATCACACAACTAAATTCTCTAGACTCGCCCTGCTTATGACACGTCAGCATGGACTGCATAGGAAACAGCACCATTTCCAACATTTCTTCTGTTGTTGCATCATGCAGCTGTCGCATGGACCTTGCAGAGAACACTGCTTCCCAGTTAGTCCATTGATGTGTGTTAGGAATCAGTTGCCCAGAAACGGACATTGCTTACAGAGTCATTACTTAGGAGTGGGTCTACATGTTACAGTATTATTAATGTGAGGTTCATCTTTCAGAGGGATACTTGTGTACAGTGTACATATGCTCTGTGTAACTGTTAATGCCTATGAACTTTAAGAAAGTAAAGTGCCAAGGCAAAGGTGCAAGAGCTTGAGTTACGAAATATCACTGAAAGTTACCAAATCCAGTGATACATAATGAAACAGTTTCATAACCATCTTTGGATCTCTTGATGAATCACTAAGAGAAAAGGACAGAAGCAGACCTAATAAGGAAATGAACTTGCGGAAGCAGAGGTTTGACCATACTCTGCAAATATAAATGGTTAAAATGCATAGTAAATCTTTATACTTGAAAGGGCACAAACTCCAAAGAGATTAACAGAAAGAAAACAGTTAACTAAAAATTATTCTTTCTTTCTTGGATGTTTCTATTTTATATGGGTTGTCTGTCTGTCTCTTGTCCTCCCCTCATCTGCATTCCCCACTTTCTTTGTTCTGGGTGACTTTTTCCTAACCTGGTATTCTCATCTTGATCTCAGCCTTTCTCAGGGTATTTTCCCTTTTCTTCCATAATCCCGTAGGATGGGGGGGGGGTTCTGGCTGCATTCTTATGACATGCTCGCACCACCTTATTCTGTTATTAATTTATCTTTCAGTGTATTTTTCTTTTTAATTTCTAATTCTGTTAGTGTCCCGCTTTTTCTTTCTGTACTCATAAAAATCGTATTAAGCTGCCTGTAGTCTTATGTATAAAATATAAATTATTAGTTTTGTTAGATGTTAAATGTTATTTGTTCATTTCTTCCGACATATCCATTGGAAATGAATAAAGAGAAAATACAGTTCATGTGGTGGGAAGCCACGAGAGTGGAACTGTGCGGCATTGAGGATGTATAAGATTCTGTTGTTGGTTTCCCAAATTCTGAACTGTTCCTATCATTCACTGTTTTGCATGCTATCTTTTGCAGCTATTTTCCGAACAGTGTCAGCCGTGATGCTGTTTGGGAACATGAAGTTTAAGCAGGAGAGGAACTCTGACCAAGCCATATTGCCTGACAACACAATGGCCCAGAAAGTTGCTCATCTTTTGGGTCTGAGTGTCACAGAGATGACCAAGGCATTTCTCAGGCCACGAATTAAAGTGGGCCGTGACTTTGTTACCAAAGCCCAGACGAAAGAACAGGCGGAGTTTGCGGTGGAGGCCATTTCCAAAGCCTGCTATGAACGTATGTTCCGTTGGCTGGTGAATCGCATCAACCGATCGCTTGATCGTACGAAACGACAAGGAGCATCTTTTATCGGAATTCTCGATATGGCTGGTTTTGAAATATTTGAGGTGAGTTGACTTTCCTGCTGCTTTTAAGGTTCCTTTTGCACACAGTTGGAGAGCTTCCATATTTGTCTAAATGGGTTCACATCTTGAACTACTGAATTTTATTTCCTTACATTTTACAATTCTTACTTCTATATACTCATCAAACTGGCTGAAGCAGTAACACTCAAAACTTTTATTGGGGAGGTGCCCCATTTGAATTTTGGCTGGGATTCTAACTGTCCTGACTTGAGCCAGGTTTTTAGTGGTTTTCCTTACTCTGTGTAGGCTAATGCTAGGAAGGCCTATGACCTCTTCCTTCCACATCCTTTCCAGTTCACTGTTCTCCACGATCCAGTCATTCCATGCTGTGTGTAGTCTGAATTATTGATAGAATGCATTGTGAACTACAGGACCAAAGGAGATAATATTCTGTTAAATTAGAACAACTTCAACTTCAAATGTAGAATTCAGTGTAATTTTTTCGTTTCTGTGTAACAGACTTTTTATAAAGTAATGGCTCTCACTCTGCTCCTGATGTACTTTTATGTTTCTTGTCTGCAGCTGAATTCCTTTGAGCAGCTTTGCATCAACTACACAAATGAGAAGCTTCAGCAACTTTTCAATCACACGATGTTCATTCTGGAGCAGGAGGAGTACCAGCGCGAAGGCATTGAATGGAAATTTATTGACTTCGGTCTCGATCTTCAGCCTACCATTGACCTTATTGACAAGGCAAGTTACCATTTGTTCACTACAGGCATTCTTAGTGCACGTTGCTGGCACCGGAGTGGTTGAACAGGTTTTATTCATGAAGAAAGCAGTCTTCTGGTATGTGGCACCGTATAGATATGGTGTTAACCGACTTTTCGGTGGAACGTATCGCCTCCATCTTCAAGGTAGAAGGAAAAATTAGAAAATCCGCGATATGTTCCACAGAAACGTCGGTTAACACATCTACGCGGCCCCACATCCCAGAAGACTGCTTTCTTCATAGTCACCACCATGAAAACCTCAAATCTTACACATGTTTTATTCATGTTCAGTATTCGTCATAGGGCAGTGCCCTGAATGTGAATAGTACCAGTTCCAAAAATAGGGCCTTTCTCATGGACCCCAAAATACCAGTTCCAAAAATAGGGCCTTTCTCATGGACCCCAAAACTTGCAGTTTTGCTTTTCGTGAAAATGGCTGTAACAATTTTGGTTAAATTTCATTATTTTATGGAGACAGTCTCCCCAAATATGTCTATGTAGGTGGTGTAATAATTAAAATAATGACATGTGCCCTTGGGCACAAAATGGTATCAGTTTTGTTCAAATTGACTTCACCTGGTAGACAGGTGTTCAGCATCCATCAGAGGTGCGCTGTACAGCAGTCAGGTTTGGAACGGTTATGCTCATACTTTTAAACTGGAATGAATGTGTTACTTGCACTTGAGTGGCTCGTGTATGCACAGCATGAAATACATGGATGTAAAATTTGGTTTGCACAGTATTTGTGCTGTATGTAATTTCGGTAAAAGTGGACACAGTACTTGTCATTGTCTTCGTATACATCAGAGGTAGTTTCTGATTTTAATTTTCATATGATCACATTTTTACAGAAGGTAAATGTTTTATTTGTCTCATAGCCGATGGGCATTATGGCCCTGTTGGATGAAGAATGCTGGTTTCCTAAAGCTACTGACAAATCATTTGTTGAGAAGCTGGTTGGTGCTCACAGTGTCCATCCGAAGTTCCTCAAGACAGATTTCCGCGGCGTAGCAGACTTTGCCGTCATTCATTATGCGGGGCGTGTGGACTATTCTGCTGCCAAGTGGCTCATGAAGAACATGGACCCCCTGAACGAGAATGTGGTGTCTCTTTTGCAGGCATCACAAGATCCTTTTGTTATACATATCTGGAAGGATGGTAAGCCTGTAAGACTGTTCAGTGGTAGCAAAGTGGCACAGTGATTCAGAGAAATGCTGTATGCAGTTCATTACTAAGTTTAGTTGGGATGATAACATTAAGATGGATTATAAGGAAGTAAGGTGTGAGGGTATTATTTGATTCATGTATCTCAGGCCAGGATCCAGGGGTAGGCCCTTGACTCTGACATACTGTTGTCTCATAAAGAAGGGCTCTGTTTATAGATTTTTATCCCGTTATTTGCGTGTGTGTGTTTTTTTGGAGTGAGGTTATATACACACTGTTTAACAGTAGATTGGTAACACAGTGTGACCAAGAAGGAAATCTCAGTTTCATATCTCATCCCAGAGACTGGCTAACCCAACTGAGATTTTTCAATATTAGAAACCCCTCCAGGAAAATTCCCAGGCAGTAACTCAGATTTCATCACTTCCCCTGGCATTTGACAATGTATTATCTGAGCTATTGAAATTACAAATAATATAACATGTATTGAGGTACTAAGGTGAGGTGCGATTACAGTCGGCCATACTTTTCCAGCTGAGATTGTGGGCATGGCGCAGCAGGCTCTTACAGACACCCAGTTTGGTGCTCGAACTCGCAAGGGCATGTTCAGGACTGTATCACAGCTATACAAGGAACAACTGGCGAAGCTCATGGTGACGCTCAGAAATACGAACCCCAACTTCGTACGATGCATCATACCAAACCATGAGAAACGCGCTGGCAAGATCGATGCGCCACTTGTTCTTGACCAGCTGCGATGCAATGGTGTTCTCGAGGGAATTCGAATTTGCAGACAGGGCTTCCCCAACCGCATACCTTTCCAGGAATTCCGACAGAGGTACAACAAACTTGTTCATAGTCTCAGTTTTGTGCTTTGTATATGGTGGAAGCTTAAATAGTAATCTGTAATACTTCCACAGAAATATAATTTCATTACTGTGGTACACGTGTCAAGTGTATCTCAGTGACATTGCTTACATTGTTGGCTCAGGACTGTCTCATTTTGTATTGTATTTCAGATATGAACTTCTCACTCCGAATGTTATTCCTAAAGGCTTTATGGATGGAAAGAAAGCCTGTGAAAAAATGGTAAGTTTTGTCTTTTATCACTTGCATCACCCACACAGTGCGTTTATCAGCTTCATATGATTCTCATGAAAACGGCATTAACCAGTTGGTCTTTTTAGTGGAGATGGAATGTGTTTCCTGTGAGGTAGGAACTGGTTTCTTAAGAACTGTTTAGGTGAACTTTAGGCTAAAGAGGGTTAATAATATAGTTCTTGCTGCTAGGATGCATTTGTTTGGGTACTGATTCCAGGTCACAAGAGTCTTGCAAACCACACATGAGGACCTAAAACTGGAAAATACAGAAGAAAATGTGTAGAATGCATGGAGTAGGCATGATCCTTTCAGTTCCTGTTCTGTGTACCCTAATGTATAATATTTTGTTCCTGTAGATCCACGCCTTGGAGCTGGATCCTAACTTATATCGTGTTGGTCAGTCCAAGATTTTCTTCCGTGCTGGTGTACTGGCACATTTGGAAGAGGAACGAGATTATAAGATCACTGACCTTATTGTGAATTTCCAAGCTTTCTGTCGTGGATACTTGGCCAGAAGGTGAGAATATTTTTCTTACAATTGAGGTTCATGTCTGTAAGTTGCGGAACAAGTTACTGTTGTGCTGTGAAACTGGTCTCATTGGAGGGTATATGAGTGTAACTTACTCGCCACTTAAAGGAGTATCGGATTAGAGTGAACAGTCGCTACAGTGTGAAGTGCCAGATGGTCAGGTTCCTAATAGTTTGGGCACAATATGAGGGCACTTGGATTTTGAATTTTAAACTAAAAGAAAACTGAATTGTTTGGCATAGTGATAATGCACTCAACTGTCATTTGGAGGTTGTCAGTTCAGATCTCAACCAGGACATTGGACTACCTGACTAAGGGATTTTCATGCTTCTTTCTGAGTCCATCCTGGCCACTACCAGGATAGTGGGTTGTGACTTGTTTCCTTTGAAATCACATCCTGTGCCATTTCATCCTCTATAGCCTAGTTTCTGATAACAATAAAATCCCCCCCCCCCATCCAGGAAACAGAAGAAAACTCCCAAGAGAAGGACGAAAACAAGGACGGGAGAAGCAGGTTAGGTAGAAGATCAAAACAAACTGAGGATGATAGGGTTTGGGAAGATGGATAGCTGGAGGCTTGGTTTCTGGGCAGCCTGCTTGAAAGTTGAGACTTTAACAAAGGGAGAAGAGGGAGACCTGAAATATTATGAATTACTTTCAAGGTTCTCGTGTTGATAGATGAACTTGAGCATACCTGTTCCCTTCATTTGAGTGCGAAGTGGTGCTCAGAGTAGAGTGCTGGTGCCTGCGACAATTGTGTGGATGCCTCAATATGTCTCCCTTTTTCAATAGGAACTTCCACAAGCGCACGCAGCAGCTTAATGCAATCCGCATCATCCAGCGCAACTGCGCAGCTTATCTGAAGCTGCGCAACTGGCAGTGGTGGCGACTCTACACAAAGGTGAAGCCCCTGCTGGAGGTGACAAAGCAGGAGGAGAAACTCACGCAGAAGGAGGATGAGTTGAAGCAGGTGAAGGAGAAACTCGATGTTCAGTTACGGTCGTCTCAGGAGAGTGAGAGGAAGTTGCAACAGGTGAGAGAACATTTTCAGGTCCGATATCTTCTGGAGATTTACCCTATTTTAAAACTTACATTTTTGATTGTAAAGCTGCATGTGATTTCATTATCCCTGTCCCCAGTTTAGTAGTTTAATTATATATATATATATATGAGGCAGCCAAACTGTGGCTTACAAACCACATGAGGCCCTTTTGAACCATTAGTGCAGCTTGTGGAAAAATATATTATTGAATCCCATTTATAGAGGTGGATTAAATATAAAAGAAGTTTCCTTTGTGGAAAGCAGCTCCCTGACTTCTGGAAATGATTTCATGCTGCTCCTCTGTTCAGAATGTTTTGCCACCATTCAGAACTTCAGTTTTCTGAAGTATATATGCATTTGGCTTGTGTTTCCCCCCTCTCACAGGCGTTGGAGGAGAAGATAACACTACAGGAGCAACTACAGGCTGAAGTGGAGCTCTGCGCAGAAGCTGAGGAGATGAGAGCAAGGCTGGCAGCCCGTAAACAGGAACTGGAGGAAATCTTACATGACCTGGAAGCCCGTATCGAGGAAGAAGAGGAAAGATCGAACACCTTACTGGCGGAGAAAAAGAAATTGCAGCTGAATATACAGGTAAAGTTCATAGTTGGGATAGGAGAATTTTCATGGAGTGCTCATAATCAATCACAATGGTGTAAAAAGTCTCATCATTTGACCTAGCATGTGATGGTTGAAAATCGTAGCTTGGGGTGAAAAATATGAAGAAAGAAATTTGTTATCTTTTATGGAAACCAAAAGAAGTTCATTACCCTGTTCACTGCATCCATTCCTGTGAAACATGCCTTTTGGTTTTTATGGTAAGGAATTGTTAGACAACTGCCAGGCCATAGGACCACCCCTTGTTGCCTACCCAAGACTATTTATACCGTACATTTTTACAGCACCGTTGGCAAGTTGAGAGTACATTGTGCTGTAGTAATAAGGTATGTCTTTATGTGGCCAAGGGGGAAATTATGTAGCATGCAGTAAAGAGCATCTCAGCCTGAAATTAACCCTTTTCTGTGAGGGGAATTTAATCTTCATCATTTGAATGTGAAACCTCAAATACTATGGAGCTTGCAGCCATAGGGTTTTGTGATGTAAACACTAATGCTAGGCTTGCTCAGTACTTCTGAATAGTAACAGTTGTGTGACACATGGATGTTAAAGGTTAATGCCCCTGTCTGTCTCAGGATTTCTAAAAAAGAGTTGGATTTCAAGTTTCTTGTGTGCTATTTTTAACTTAATGTCTTGTGGACATGATCACAACATGCCCTACTTTGATGCTTAAATACCTCACTACATAAAGCAGAGTCCTTGAGAAGCTGCTAGTCGCCCAAGTAGTGAAAGAGTTTCATGCTGTTTATGGAACTCAGAGGTTCATTACCGTGTTACTAGAGCCCACCACAGGTCTCTGCCCAGAGCCAGATGAATCCTCACCACATGCACATACCCTGATTCTTTGCAATGTAATGAGAGACTGTGCATGGAGCTCTGTATCTGTGTGCAGGACTTGGAGGAGCAACTGGAAGAGGAGGAAGCGGCAAGACAGAAGCTGCAGCTGGAGAAAGTGCAGTGCGATGCCAAGATCAAGAAGCTGGAGGAAGATTATGCTCTCAGCGAAGACACAAACCAAAAGGTACATATATTGATATTCGCCGGTCATCTCTTGATCTGTGACTTTGCCTTCTGGGAATACCATCACGCAGAAAACTTTCTGCTCACTGTGCTTCTATCTGAGGGGTCACCAGAAACTTGTCCAGCACTTGATTTCATTGCATGTTCCCCCAGAACAGGATCCTTGAAAATGTTGGGTCACCATCTACCGAACTACTCAGCATCCCATCCCAGAAGACTGATCTTTATATTCAGTGCAGTGAGAATGTGAGAGATATATATATATATATGCTATCATATTCCTTCATCCCTGAGCCAAACAGCTCAGTCAATATAGTGACTAGGCTAGGGACTAAATGACCTAGGAGTGAGGGTTCAGTTCCCGGCAAGGGCAAGACATTTGTCCCCTTCCATTCTTAACTGGGTGGGACTATAAGGTGAAATGCTGTTATAAGAAGATGCTAGGTGTTTGAATCTTTGCTGTGAATGTACACGTGTGTGTGTGTGTGTGCGCGTGCGTGCGTGCGCGCGCGCGAGAGAGAGAGAGAGTTGTTTTGTTGTTGCAGCTGCTGAAAGAGAAGAAGCTGTTGGAGGAGCGCATGTGAGAGAGATAGATAACTGTTTTATGGTTGCAGCTGCTGAAAGAGAAGAAGTTGCTGGAAGAGCGTTCAGCTGACTTATCTCAAACCCTTGCTGAGGAAGAAGAGAAAGCCAAACATCTGGCAAAGCTGAAGACCAAGCATGAAGCAACAATCGCTGACCTGGAGGAGAGATTGCTGCGGGATCAGCAGCAGAGACAAGAGATGGACCGCAGCAAGCGGAAGGTGGAGACTGAAGTGAGTGACCTGAAGGAGCAGCTGAACGAACGCCGTCTCCAGGTGGAGGAGCTGCAGCTGCAGCTCGGCAAGCGTGAAGAGGAGCTTACGCAGGCTCTCATGAAGATCGATGAGGAAGGTGCTGGCAAGGCTCAGTCGCAGAAGGCTCTTCGTGAACTGGAATCCCAGCTGGCTGAGGCAAGTTTCCAATTCTTTTTTGTAAATATTGCATTTTAAGATTGAATTTTATTCAGTGAATGTACATATGGAGGTGACTTTGTAGAGAATCTTCATACTGAAGCATAATAACTTCATGGAGCAGAGTCATTCATCAGAGGCCAGTAGATTTTATCCTTTTATGGGAGTCTGAGGTCCCCTCTCCTGGGAGAACTGAAACCAGTTTTAAACCTCACATCCTGTTTTCTTAAGGTCTGGCTTAATGTTATCCTTTTATCAATACTTAGGTCTTCCCTTCAGATAATGAAACAAAATTCTGTGAACATGCCGCATCTGTCCCATGTCTTGCTGTTTCATCCACCTTGGTATTTTTAATGACAAGTACAGATTATAGAACTCTTCTTGATGCAGTGTTCCCTGTTTCCCATCACTTCCTTTCTCTTTAACATCCCGTTATATTACTTAGTATCTTTCTTCTTTTTGTACGTATGAGTTCCTCCTGAAAGTGAAGGTTTGTATTTAGAAACTAGTTTCATTAGATTAGTGTATTAGAAAATCTTGTTTCATTATACTTTCATAGTTTTTTTCCCACTACTTCATTTTCTATTTCCTTACAGTTATCAAATGGATTGTTTTTCCTTAACCTGACCATTATTCTCTGTTGCTTTTCCTGCATACAGATCCAAGAAGATCTGGAAGCTGAGAAGATTGCTCGCAGTAAAGCAGAGAAACAAAAGCGGGACTTGAACGAGGAATTGGAGGCGCTGAAGAATGAGCTTCTGGATTCTCTGGACACCACAGCAGCACAGCAGGAGCTGCGCACCAAGCGAGAACAGGTACAGAAAGCATTTCTTCTGTGTGTGTGTGCATGCGCGCGTGCGTCCAGATGTCGCACATCTGTAAGAGACAGCGAACGTGTGGTGTATCCATCCATACTGCCTGTTGTGATGATGGAATAAAAACTAGGAAAGTGTGGAATCTGTTTCCAAGAGTGTGTTCTGTTGTCTCAGTGTTGGAGTGATCTTGAGAATGATGGTTCACAGATGGGACCTACATGTTAACCTGCTCTCTGAAGCATTGAAAGTGAGGGGGTCAATGAAGGACCACACAAGCATAAGACTGCGTGCCAACTGTTGATGAAGAGTTGAGACACTAGCACAGGCTAAGCGTTAATTTCAGAGGGTGTTGGAGAGGTGAAATGGCTGTTTGGACATAGTTGCTAATGATGTCTTGAGACTGTTGGTTAAACAAAACATAGTGGGCTGTTAGAATGTTTAAATGATCATATGGATTGCTTCATGTTAGAAATCTGGAAAGAAGGTACTTTGTATTTTAAGCAATAAAAGATCATCAAACGATATCTTTTTAATGGATATGTCTGTACTTTTCAGGAACTTGCCACCCTGAAAAAGAGTCTAGAAGAAGATGCTGCATCTCACGAGATAGCAATAGCAGAAATGAGGCATAAGTACAGCCAGGATGTGGCCCTCATCAACGAGCAGATGGAGGCTGTCAAGAAGGTGAGAACAAAATTCTTGGCCTGCTGTAGTGTACTAGTTTGAATGTGAAACATTCTTATTGGTTTATGTAACTGCCATCTATAGCTCTTTTAACCCTTGAATGTCATGAGATGTAAATAACACACCAACAGTTTTTGTCATTTGTCACCATCCTGTGGAAACCTGTGACAGAGAAATGTGTGTTATGTCTTTATGCTTATGGGCAATATTCAGAAACCTACTCCCAGGTTGTATTTTACCACAAAAAGAGCAATGTGCCTCCATCTATACATATTGATAGTGCAGTACTTGGTTAAGCAGAGTTGCAACTTTCCTTTGACCATTCTGTAATGAAGTCAGCCCCTGAACACTACATAACCTAACCTAAATAACTGTGTATAAAATGTCTGCAGGCCAAGAGTGGTTTGGAGAAGGTGAAATCACAACTAGAGGCTGAAAATGCTGATCTAACCACAGAACTGCGATCAGTGGGTGCAAATCGGCAGGAATGTGAACGCCGCCGCAAGCAAGCCGAGAGTCAGCTGGCAGAGGTGCAGAGCAAGGCAGTGGAATTAGAACGGTCACGTGCAGACCTCTTAGACCGATTCACCAAGTTGCAGCAAGAATCTGATGCCATTGCAGCACAGTTAGAGCAGGCAGAACTGCGGACATCTGCAGCCACCAAGAGTGCGGCCACTATGGAGACGCAGCTGGGCGAGGCACAGGTAATCACAGACTCTCTCATAGAATCTATACTTTGTTGTTTTGGAAGAGTAATCTGGGTTGTTCAGCTTCAACCTATCTTCAGTTTTCAGTAGTTCTGTATGCATGATACTTAGAAATGCCTGTCCATTTATATAATTTAACCTGAATACTGAGACCATGGAATTCTTTGGGTCAATCGCCATCGTGTCTCTTGTCACGCTACGATGCTGTCCCTTCCAGCATATTCCACATCAGTCTTGTAGCTGCTGTTTTGTTTGCATCTGGTATTGTGATGACCCCCACTATGAAACAAGCTGTATGCCCTGGCAGACTTCTTGCCTGAGTAGAACACCAGAGTGCAGAGCCAGAAGTACAGTCATCCCCACCATTTTGTGGGCTTTCTCTGCAGAGGAGGCCAGAGAATGTTGCATAATGAGGAATCTCATGTATTGTTCAGCAAAAGTTAGTGTGATAGGGGCAGGGCATGTGGCATGGCAGGAGAAAAGAGAAGTATGTACAAAGCTGCGGTAGGAAAACCTGACGTAAAGAAACCACCAGTAAGACCTTGGTGTAGAGATGGGTTACCGTTAAATGGCACAGGGATCAGCGGAGGTCTCTACATTGAGTAGATGGTCAAGAAAGACTTGTCCCCAAAGTTAGTTAGCTCGTCAGTCAGTCAGGTGTAACAGGTAAAGCAAAAACAGTCTAGGTATTGGTGTTAATGATTTGCAGTTGTTTTTGACACCAGTGGTGACAATAGAAAGGAACATGAGTATCACCATTTGATTCTTCTGCTTAGTAATTATCAGGGCCCAAATTTTGATGACATCATCTTGTTTTCCTTGTATCCTATGTGATGATGCTCTTAAATATATAAATCTCGGATGTGAGCTGCTGGTTACAGAAATGTAAATTTTATAGGTAATTTTTTGACATTTTTAGGTTTAAGGTCATTTTTTCATTTTGGGGGTAATTTTTTTGGGCTTTTAAGGGTATTTCTTGTCATTTTTGGCCATTTTAGGGAATTTTTCTTCATATATTTTCTGAAATGTGAATAAGATGGAAGCGAAGTGTTCTTTCTCTTTCTCCTTTAGGTCATTTTTTTGGCCATTTTTTAAATATTTTCAGGTCATCAAAATCCGGGCCCTGGTAATTATGAACTTTGCCAAAAACCACCTTTTTTTTTAGGATCACCCTTTCAGAATGCTTTGCTATTGTGAAGTTCATTCTAGTGCTTACATTTCTGCCCCCATATCTCAGTGCCAAAATTTCACCTGTTTATGTTTATCCTCACTCTTGTTGTTCATGTCACTTGTTCTGTATATGAACTTCAACTATGAGTTTAGCTTTGTCTAGTTTTCCAGTCTTTACTTCACATTGGTTATAGGCTCTCTACCAGAATTTGCCTACAAAACCATTTCTTTCTGTTGTGTGCCTCAGTGTAGTAGCAGGATGAAGCAGCAGTAACTCTGTTCTGTATACTGTCTCCTTTAACATTAGAAACTCCTTTTTGTATTTATGTGATTCACACAGTATATTTAATGTTCCTCAGATTAAGGTTTGCTGTCATTTAACATTCAGTTGCGTTGATCCCAAGACAATCCCATTGTTAAAAATGTCCACAGTTCAGTGTTCAGATCCACTTACTGCCAAGGAAACAAACGGGCTTGTAAATTTCTTACAGTAAGCAGCAGTTATTTCCCTGAACAGCATTAACTGGTTGACCTTTGTAATGGAGACATTGTGTTGTCTGTGTGGTAACTTGATTCTTAAATGTTGTTATACATTAATTTCAGGCTTCAAAGGGGTGGGTCTCAGTCCATCTCGTGCCAGTCACTCGGATCAGCTTCCTTTGAGATAAATTGTTTCTGATAATTGTTGAGTGGATTTACGTAAGCAGGACAACACTGGGGGTGCAGTGCGAATTGCGTAGAATGCCCCAGTGTTGGGAAGCTAAGCAATGTCTAAAACATTTCTGTTTGTGTGTCATACATATCTTGAATAGGTAATGCTATAGAAGAAAAGGCATGTTTGACAAGACCTTTGGTGTAGTGATTTGTGTTCCAGTTTTATGTTAAAAGTAAAGTCTGGTAAGTTTCTAGTGATGAATTAATCTGTATTTCTTTTAGTATGTTCTCCTTAGTGGTCAAGCAGCCCTGAAGTGTTACATTGGATTATATTTATTGCTGACAATTTCAATATTGATCAGTCAGTTTAGCAAAACAAAACCAATGTACCTCCTTTCAAGAGGGGCACGCATTAGTGTAGTTGGTTGAAGCACTATGCTGCAAGCCAGAAGGTCTCAGGTTCAATTCCTGGCGAGGTTGCTGGATTTTTCAGTTGACCTGATCCTTCCAGCAGCACTATGGCCCTGTGATCGACTAGCCCCTAACAGAAATGAGTACGAGATACCTTCCTGGGGAGGGGTAAAGGGCGGCTGGCACATAAGACTGACAGTCCCACTGCCATCTGTGAGCTGATTGTCTAGAAAATATGGGAGCCTCAATGTCTCACAACCCTGTGGACCTCCACGGCCTATTGCAGGGATAGCTGTACATTTTCACTTTTACTGTCATTCAAGAAACAAATCTCTGTCCCTCTTCCATGTACAGTACTGTGTTCCCTAGAAAATATGGGAGCCTCAATGTCTCACAACCCTGTGGACCTCCACGGCCTATTGCAGGGATAGCTGTACATTTTCACTTTTACTGTCATTCAAGAAACAAATCTCTGTCCCTCTTCCATGTACAGTCCTGTGTTCCTTTCTGTGCATGTTGCCATATTGAAATATTGTGCTCATATTTGAACTGTTTTGTGAATAGACGCAACTGGAAGAAGAGACGAGGCAGAAGCTTGCTCTGAGCTCGAGATTACGACAGCTCGAGAGCGAGAAGGAGGCCCTGCAGGAACAGGTAGAAGAAGAGGAGGAAGCAAAGAGAAACCTGGAAAAACAGATCCTCGCTGCATCACAGAATCTTGCTGATGCCAAGAAACGAATTGAAGAGGAAGCAGAACAGGTCAACCAACTCGAGGAGGTTAAGAAGAAGTTAGCAAAGGTCAGTTGTAGCATTTATTCAATTGGGTAGATGTAGATTGTATTTCATCAATTCAGTGTAGTAATCTGTAGGTTCTGTGTCCTGTGTTTTTCTGGCTTTTGGTTTAATGAGGGTTAATTAAACATCGTTTGGGGGTGGGGTGCTAGTAAGTATTTAGTTTATGCAGTGAGTTTTCTAGACAGCAGAGCTGTGAAGCAAAGGGTTATGGGTTTGCCTAATGGAAGGAATGTCCAAACACCTTCACCTGAGTTTGTGAATACTGCAAGAGTACCAGTTTATGTCCTTTGTAAAGGGCGTGTTGTCTTGTTGATGCAGCATAATTTTGTTGCAACTGATATTATGGTGGCTACATCAAAGTAAATTAATGTGTCATATATATATATATATATATGACACTCAAGATTGCCAGTAACAAAGAAACTGCAGTAGCGTTTATTACAGCTCTGAGTGTCATTACATTTAGAAAGATAATTTGAGGCAAGTATATTTGTTTTGGGTACAGATTTTGGGTTGTGTGTTGTGTTCGTCTGATGAAAATCTCACTAGGACAATGGAGTGGGAGTACTTTGGCAAGGAATTTTTCTTCTAGGATGTGCCAATTTTGAGTCAACCCAAAAAGAGAACACAGAGATAACGTCTAAGAAATGTGAAAGGTTCTTTCTTATTTGGGCTCGTTACAAAGTGTTAGCTTCAGTCTGGTGACCATGACTAGCTTCTCGTCATGAACGCCAGATTACAGGAACATCCGGTTTCTGGAATATGACAAAAAGATTAAGATGATTGACAGTACCCAAAATAATGATTGTATTTATTTGTAGCTGGGCGTCCTTAGAAGGATTTGGACTTTGTAACCAGTCGGATCAGGGCGGCCACAGCTGTTTCTTGCTTGACGTCACGGTATCAGAACAGTGTTTGTAGATGAAGTGGTGGGGACGTGATGTTTGTGTAATGAGCTAATTTAGGGCATGGTTGGTGCAGGACATTGAAGCATTGCAGCGCCAGGTTGAAGAGCTGCAAGCAGCCAACGATAAACTGGATAAATCTAAGAAGAAGTTGCAAGCCGAGCTAGAAGACTCCAATATAGATCTGGAAGCTCAGAGAGCTAAGGTCCTTGAACTGGAGAAGAAACAGCGTAACTTCGACAAGGTGTTGGCTGAGGAGAAGGTAATAAGATGTGTGAAAATAGAATTAATCCTGTATGTAAGATGTATGTTAGTAAATTAGTAAATTAGTGTGTTATAACACACGCAGTCGCAGGAGCACGACACAACAAAAGCACAACACACAAGATAATGAAGGAGTGCTCCAACAAAGGAGAATGGGCGTGACTGACGTAGTGAGGGGCGACGTAGCGATGTGGTATCCTGAACAATTTTAATATTTTTAACGTTTGACAATGTATATGATAGATACATATTTTAGTTATTTTAATGTGTGAACATGGCATGCAATGAACTGGTTTGACGTGGATAAGTAAGCACCTGAAGATGGCATTATTATGCCGAAACATGTAGTGCGAGGGAGAGAAGGAGATAAATGAGTGTATGCACTGCAAGACGGATTAAATAAATCATGGACTTAAATCAGTGCAACAGGACGCTAAAATATAACATAAACTCATGGTTCTTTGTCATGCTTTAAAAGAGTAAGAAAATATTCTGATGTGGTATGCTGTTCAAACTAATTGTGCTAGAGTGAAAACAGTTGTTTCACCTCAACAGTTTCTTGTAGTTGCTCAGAATATGTCAAATAAGATGTAAAGGTATTTCATATTTACCTTTTTCTCTTATATGCTGAGATCTGCTGGTGTTTCCTTTTCTCTGCACGGTAGTATGAGAAAAAGAAATTTGAAAATTCTGTGGGATAAGTTTAACTTGTGCATATACTGCAGAAATACACGTGCCCGCTGGCAGGTTAGTGGGGACACCTGCAAGCATATATATTTGTAACCTCAGTTACTAAGTGGAACTTTAAGTGACTGATAGCAATGTATGGGCCACTCTAATGAATTTTTCTTACATCCTGTGTGAGAATGAATTGGATATGAATACAGCTCTCAGATTCCACCCATCATCCAAACAAAATTTAATTTTATGTCTAACGGGCAGTTGGGAAGAAGTCGTTTAAGTATTACTGACTTTGTTACATAAATTTGTAAATGTAAATGTCAGTACATACTTAGAGGGGGTTTTTAGAAATATTTCTACAGAAGAATTATAATTTGAATTTCAGGTATTCACAGGAATATTTCTTGTAATTGACCATCTACATTTATAATGAAAGTATCCTTATAAATTCAATAGCAGATGATTTCATCTTGTTAGAAATGTTCATTGCCACTTAGAACATAGTTGGTAAAATCACCACTGCTTGTTTGATTCATAATCAAATATCGTGTGTTTCTCCCATATTTGTTCATGTTTATCTGTTAAGTAGTGCTGGTTGGAATATATGTTGTTTTGGTTGGTTGTACTATAAATTAACAATCACTGAACAACATGCTTTCCAACTTCATACTAGGTAAGAGATGTCAGTAAGGGAGGGGCAACAGATATATTACAAATAATACAGGTGGCACTGGTTTACAGACTGCGATCCAAGAGGCACTTAAAATGTTTGACAAGCCAAAATGTGTTGCCATTGAAGTTACAAATAAATAGTGTAAATAATCTTTACAGTGCACACACAAACATGAAATTGGTCAAGATCTTGGCATTTTGTTTCTTTTTGTTATGAACCTTTGGGGTCAGATGTCAGTAGGAGATAGGTCTGTAAGGCTCTGCGCTACATTTTCATTGCAACTTGCTGTGCAGGCTGTGGCCGAGCAGATTGCGCAGGAGCGTGATGCAGCAGAGAGGGAAGCTCGAGAGAAGGAGACGAGGGTCCTGTCTCTGACGAGGGAGATAGATGAAATGAATGACAAAGTAGAAGAACTGGAACGAGGTCGTCGCCAGCTACAGGCTGAGTTGGACGAACTGGTCAACAACCAGGGCACTGCCGATAAGAATGTGAGTGCGTAAGATTTTAAGTTTTGCTTACATTCTGAGATTCATGCCATGGTCTTGTGGGTTGTGGCAGTAAGTGGGAATCATTTCGGAGAAATATGCTGTCTCCATCTTCAGGGTATAAGTGAGCCAAGTTGGGGATTGCATTATTTCTTCCTGTGACACTGGCAAGTATATTTTTCTTGAAAACATTGGTACCAACTTGCCACACTTAATAGTGTCATAACTTCGAAGACCATAGTGAGAATGGGATTTTCCAAGTAATGACAACCTAGGGTGGCTGTATGTGTACTCAGTGAGCAGCTATTTTGTAACTCGTGTTGAAAGAAAGAGACATGCTGGAATGCAGATGCTACATGAAATAAATATTTGCATTCAGATTTTGTTTGAGTGAAGAAACTATACACCGTCTCCTTGCTTTGGAAGCCCAGGATCAGACCTGGGTAACTATATTTGAGATTCTTAGTGGCTGTGAAGCGACACTTGGGCAGGTTTTGCTCCAAGTTCATCCAGTTTTCCCCCCGCTGATCACCATGTCACCATTGCTTCCTATCCATGTACTGTGCCTGCAGAGGTGTGGGTTAGCCCTGACCAGGGAAGTACACTATTACATGTTAAGTCTTTTTAGTTGGGGCCCTTGTCTCAGCCCGGGCACCGGACGGGTTATATGGTGAGACAGTTCAGATTTTTGTAAGATAAGTGTATAAACATTGTACAACATAATAAACATTGTGCATACAGTGTTCTGTGGGCACTAGATCTGTAAGCTCATGTTTCACAGTCCAAATAGCATGAGATGGGAATACACACATTGTATTAAATATGTTAGCTATCTTGTATACCCCATTGACCTTGAAGTTAATTTATGCAAGCTAATCATATTAAAGATGTCATTTCACAGTTGCAAGTTATTTTTCAGTATATTTCATTAAATACTAGAAGCACAGAGCCTAACCCTCTGAAGACCTGTTTTATGACATTAATCTGTACTCTACAGTGTAATGTCACATTCATAAAAGTGTTTGTATTTACTCGTGTTTGGTGAAAATGAAGGTAATGAAGGGGCACCTGCCTCAGTGAAGTGTGAACTTGTTTTCTGTCTACAAATTCACACCTCATAGTGGCCATAGCAGAGTTTAGAAACAAACTGCATGTGTTTAGAAGGATCTGAGTATAGTTTAAAAACTTGTTGTATTTATTTACTGCTTTATTTGACAGTCCTCAGTTCAGTAATGCATGCATGTTAACACTTCTCTGTTTCTTCTGTCTTATGCACCATCCAGGCAGAGGTAAGACATGTTCACTCGTCTTGCATTCCCTTTAAAATTTAACTACAGTTTAACCTCCAATTTAATCTTGTATTGTTGCATCCTGTTGTCTGTTTACATCAACTACAAGTACAAGCTTTACATTTTTTTCTAAGAGGAGTCTGGTTTTATGGGTTGTAGCGCCATGTAGTTTGGAGAGAGCAAACTGAGCTTGCTTCTTTCTGGGCTTGTACTTTGACCCTGAAGACAGAGGCAGTATTTTCATCTGAAACGTTGGCCTCTCTCCGAGCTATGTAACGTTACAACACAGAAGACCATGCTCTTCATAATTACCGCCACAAAAACCTCAAAGCCAACAGTTTCCCTACTCTGCCAAGCTGCCGTTCATTTTAGGTTAGCAGAGCTCCGCTTCTGCCATGCTAAATAGTGATTATGAAACCTCCCTTGGCCTGCAATGTAGAAAATAAATTCCCTCATAAACTGTAGTTCAGACGAAGCATTAACGGATATCATGTCAGATTTAGAAAGTTTTTTGAAAGTCAAAATTTTTGGCCCAAGCATGACAGGCACCTGCCTGCTTGAGGTAACAGTATGTTAGTCCTGGCAGACGTAAGATTAATTCAAGTTAACGTGATACAATGAACATGTTAATTTGCTGATGGTATTCACAGTTTGGCTGTATCATTCAGTGCAGCTGTACCATCATTAAATCCGCATGCTTTTATGCTTGGTGCAGCAGTGAATACTGTCAGCAAATTAGTGTTGTCTTGAGTTCATTTGATTGTTCAGTGATCCAAGATTTTTCCCTTGTTTAACACTTTCAGTTATCCTGAATGAATGGTTTCAAATATTGGAACATTTTCTTCATTTTAATATTCAGGTCCATTGCTTCTCAAAGAAAGCTTAAATGTGGGTTTCACTGTGGTTTCCTTGTAGAGAATGAATTAGTTTTGTATGTCACTACCATTGTTTGTGTAGCTTGTGTTTGTGTGTGACAAGTAGATGCATATCTGCTTGCTCTTATTGTTTCATGTTGTTCAGATGTCAGGAATATGTGCAGACACAAAGGCTCTCATGATTCACATTGCCGGACTGTGTGTGATACTTGTATTTTGGAGTTTTATTTTATCATTAAGAATTTGAAGTATTTGTCCGTTTGAGGAGTAGAGATGGATATTTTTAATGTCAACCCAGCAAGCTGTAAATAAATTGATGCAAAAATCTAAAAAAGAAAGACAACTCTGCACGAGTATGGTACTCCTATATGCTGTATGTGAACCACTGAAAGAGAGTTCACCCACTGTAAAGAGCAGAAGGTGCTGATTTGTAGTTGGTGGTGCAAGACTTCCACCATTGGAGCTTTATAGGAAGCATGCTGGTAGAGAAGAGGCAGGGGCTAAGTTTGCTTGTCCTTTATTAATTATGTTGATCATTTATTCAGAATGTTCTACATATTCCCTCCAAACCTATATATATATAATGGGGTAATTTGGTCTTCATAGCCACCACGGTACAGGCTGGATGATGGGTTCAGTCCCCAGCTGGAGCAAGACTTTTATCTTCTCCATAGTGTCCAGACTGGCTTTGGGGCCCACGCAGCCTCCTTATGCAATGGGTGGCAGTGGTGCAGCAGGGGCAGAAGCTGTATATCTGCTACTCAATAAATCCTTATGGCCTAGTGATTTGTTTTACTTGAAGGGTTGCTGTATTATTTTATGGTTGTAGTAAGAATGTTATCAGTTATTTATAATAGCATTAATTGATGAATCTTTATAACACTCAGCAGTTTTTGTTTTGCTTTGTGTCTGAAGTATTTATCTATTTTACTCTTTCCGGTTGTGGCTGCACGTTCCTGAAGTGCATATTTGTGACAGTGACACTGGATATTGTTCATTTGTCTTGTAACAGGTTCACGAGCTGGAGAAGGCAAAGCGGGCACTGGAGAGCCAGCTTGCAGAACAGAAAGCTCAGAATGAAGAACTTGAAGATGAACTGCAGTTCACTGAGGATGCAAAGTTGAGACTGGAAGTCAACATGCAGGCACTGCGCGCCCAATTCGAGCGAGATCTTCAGGTGAAATGACAAGGCTACTGATCTATAATTATTAACTTGATAGTCTGTACCATAATCGTCCCTCTTTGAATGTTGATGGGACTATTGCTGGTCTACTGCAACAAACTTTCCAATTTATTACTCATTCATCATCCTGTCATTCAACATTTGAGCTATTGGCAGTGCCATTAAATTAGCTGAAAATAAATAGATAAACAGAGATATGAGTCTCTTCCTAGGCATGCCATTGGTGAGGAAGTAATGCTCTGGATATTTGTAGACTCCAATGGGCAAGGCATATCATGTATCACAGTTCAAAGGAAGTGCTGGAGTCCTTCAGAAGACAAGGTGCAATGATAACATAATTTTTATGAAAAACATGCACAATTGATCTTCCCCCTCAGCTTACTCAGTTGGTAAGAGAATCAAATGTGTGAAGCTTGAGGTAAAGCTGATTTCACATGTCACAGAACATGCCTAAGCTGTAACCCATAGGTACTGTAAATTTGCAATGCTCTACTGCTTGCTGCTTCAAGTGGGGAGTTCTTTGTATGGCTATATGTATAGTGTGTAGAAACCACCACGAGACTGACTTGAGTGTGTGCTTTAGGCGAAAGAAGAGCAGGCGGAGGAGAAGAGGCGTGGCCTGCTGAAACAGCTGCGAGACTTGGAAGCAGAGCTCGAAGATGAACGCAAACAGAGAGCTAATGCCCTCTCCCAGCGGAAAAAACTTGAAGCTGACCTCAAGGACATGGAACAGCAGCTTGAAATGCATGATAAGATTAAGGAAGATGCACTTAAACAGCTCAAGAAATTGCAGGTTCGTACTTTACTGCACTGTCTTGTAACAGTTTGTTTTTTTAATATTCACTTCTCATAGTATTATTTCTATTTATACAGGTTGATTGGTGAAAAGTCACAGTCTCCCCCCCCCCCACTGCCACTATGTCTTCTGTTATTTACCAGACCTATTGAAGTCTGCAATATTTATATTCTGCCATAAAGCCTGTTGAAATCTCAGTGGGTAATTGTTGTTATTGAGAGTACATTTGGCCACACTGTTCTTATTTCACTATGACCTGTGACCTGCTCTTACATGCCAGAGCTCATGAGAGATGCCTAGAGATTATGAGTTCACTGAATATGCATGCTGTGAGGTTGAAAAGTTCTGGAAATAGAGCTGTATGTGTATTAAGATCGAAGTTCTGTGCTGTGTGTTACTAGACTGGGGTCAGGTGGCACCTCCATCAGCATTCCTGTAAATTCTTTGCCACTGATCCAGAACAGATGATGTCTTTATACAGAACTTACATGGGCTTAGACTAAAAAATTAGCAGCTCTCAGGTGTCTAACTTATACCATTGTGCCAGATTTTATCGGAGTAGGTTGCAGTGGTGTGGATATGTAAGGTGAACAAAGGAACAAATAGACACAGTTGACATATAAAGTATTGACTGTATAAAAGTTGGCTTGCTCACCAAACGTGACAGACAGAGTCAGGCTTTGGTTCATGGTGGTGCACGTGTAGGTGTTGTAAAAGGTGGGCACTTCTTGATCTGTTGTGCAACACTCATGGCTCTGGTGGGCAGTCACTGGCCTTCTGCCAAGGTGGCCTGGGTTTGATCCCAGGTCAGGTCATGTGAGGATTTTTGGTGGACAGGGTGGCACTGGGACGGGTTTCCTCAGAGTTCTTCGCAGTTTCCGCTGCCAATTCTCATTCCACCAAATGCTTCATACTCATCTATCATCTGAGTCTGTTAGTAGGTGACATACCAAGTGGACTCAGTCTGACCCTACCCCACAAGATAAAAAGAATTTTGTCATAGTCTTAAGAATGACTGCATCTAGAAATGCACCCAACTGTCCTCTTCTCTACCCCTATAGTCGAATCTTTCTCATTTTCTCTGACCATAATAACACTTCAGATTTTGGGCTGGCAGTGACTGTCCTGATTGAGCCCCCCCCCCCCTTCTGGAATCAGTACCTTCTCTCACACTGTGACTCTCCTTTCACATACCTTCCAGTTCGTTATTGAGTACTATCCAGTCAATTGATGCTGTGTTGAATAGCAGACAGAGTCATCAGATGAATTACAAAAGACAACCAGATGTGTAGAAATACTGTAGGGTCAGTTCTGGAAGTGACTTGAGCAGGTTGTGCATTGGTTCCAGAAGGTTCTCTAAGTTGTAGTTGCCACTCTTAGGTCCAGGCCAAGGACTCTGCTCGAGATGCAGAGGAAGCAAGGGCCTCAAGAGATGAACTGGCTGCGGCAGCCAAGGAGACAGAGAGAAAGCTGAAGAGCTTGGAAGCAGAGCTGGTGCAGATGAGTGAGGACCTCGCCAGTGCTGAGAGAGCGAAACGAGCTGCAGAGAGTGAGCGTGATGAGCTGCAAGAGGAAATCAACAGCAATTCCAATAAGGGGTAGGTTCTAGTGTAGTAATGCATGTCACTTGTTTTCACCTTTTCTTGCTCACCATCTCACATGCAAACAAACTTACGTTAAAATGATGAGTAAGTGTTCAGTTGAAGTGGTTGTCAATATTACCAGAAGTTTTGTCTGTCACTGGTAATGGCTTTCTGGCCTTTGTCTATCTGTATACAGTTCCAAACAGAACAGCTTTTCATGAACAGGATCTCTTGCCATCCTCACATGAAATGGCTGGGAATAAGTAACCTGGTCCATTAGATTGAGCTAATCTTTACCATGCCCACTTCCCAAAATGCTTTCTGTTTGAAATGTTAAGATGATAGACAAAATCTTGAAACCCAGTGCTTACTGCAACATACTGTTTTTAGAGTACTTTAGGATTGAGTGTTTTGTATTCATTTCATTGTTTGAACGCTTTCAATTTGCATAGGGTGCAAAGGAGTAATAGTACAACATAGTACATTTATGATAGGCATTGGCACTTGCATGATGTCATTTCTTTTTCTTAATAAAATGTTCTTTAATGACAGAATCGTATAAAAGTTGCATAAAGTTCTGTTAAAACTCATCAAGTCCACATATTTCAGGACTTTTGAAATATGTAATTTTTGATCATGACAAAATATTTCAGTTAAACCTAAGTTTAAGTACTCAGAAGAAACTGTGAGCTACAGGTGGAGAGCTGAAGGATCAGGGTTCGATTCCCAGCAGAAGCAGTTGATTTTTCTCTTCTCAGTGTCCTGACTGGTTCTGGAATGCCTCAGCCCCTATCTGATGGGTTTCATGGTTCGTTCCCTGGGAAAATAACATTTTGTGTATAAAGCTGAGCCATCACTTCCATTCATACTTAGTGTTGAACGATATGTGGATTTACACCTCCATTCCCCCATGTCTCTTCATGGTGTAGGGAGACTTCACTCTCTCTACATGCAGCTTTGAATTTAATGTGATGAACAATGGACTTTGAAGAAAGCAGTCTTCTGGGATTTGGCACCGTGTATATGTGGTGTTAACAAGCAGTCTGCTTTTACCAGTTCTCACGGTCTCTTCGCTTGTGGATTTCTTATATTTTTCCTTCTACCCTGAAGATGGAGGCGATACATTCCTCCGAAACGTCGGTTAACACCACATATACACGGTGCCAAATCCCAGAAGACTGCTTTCTTCATAGTCACCGCCATGAAAGCCTCAAATCTTACAACAATGGACTTGTATTTAGGTTTGATTTAATAGATGGAAAAAATGTTTCAAGAAAGTTCCCCCCCCCCCCATAAAGTGGTCTTTACAAGGTTCTATCAGAAAGTTCCCGGACTGTTATTGTTGTAACTGCTTTGGTAGCAGAAGATGAAAGGGTAGACCAGGGTCACACACTTCTGCAAGCCTATTGCATCAGTCTGGCACATGTCACTTTGCTTTGAACACATGGTTTTATACAAGTGTTTGTCTGTTTCGTCTTGTCTGCGATGGACGGCAAAATCGAGCAACGTGCCTGCATCAAGTTTTACGTGACGCTCGGTAAATTTGCTACCGAAACCCTTGAAATGCTTTGTGAGGCTTTTGGAGAACATTCTTTAAGCTGGACAGCAGTTTTTGAATGGCATTCACATTTCAAGGCTGGTTGAGTATCAGTTGAAGATGATGAATATTCAGGGTGACTAAGCACCACCACAATAACAGAAAGTGTTGAGGAAATTTGAGAACTCATCCACGAAGACTGTCACTGAAGAATCAGCGAGCTTGCAGACACCATTGGGATCAGTTATGGAGTTTGCCAGGAGATTATAACAGAAAATTTGAACATGTGTCTCATTGTTCCATCATCATGACAATGCGCCCACTCACACATCCCTGAAAATCACAAAGTTTGTGACTAACAACAACATGGTTATTCCCCATCCTCCCTAGTTGCCAGACTTAGTACCCTGTGATTTCGCTTTTTTTCCCAAATTTAAAATGAAGCTGAAGGGATGACTTTTTGAAACATCCTAAGGGAATCACAAGCAGTACTCAACAGCAATAAGGAAAATGACTTCCATGGTGCTTTTGTAGCGTGGAAAAACGATGGGCCCGCTGTATACGTTCCCAAGGAGACTGTCTTGAAGGAGATGGCAGCCAAAATTTCGTTTTTGACCAAGTCCGGGAACTTTGCTGTAGTACCTCATATCATTCTACCTTATGTAAATATCAAGCACATGTTCCATTGCAGGCGCAGATTAAGTGTTATAATGGCTAACAGCCCCGCTCAAGCCGTGTAAGTTGAAGTGCCCTGTTAATCAAGCATGGAAGTTAAATGCCCTTCATAATATCTGGTTCTACAACTAACAAAGTTTTGCAGTTGTATATATTTTGGCAGTAAACGTGATCCCTGTTGCTACACCATAGCATTCCTCAGTTGACCAATTGTGAAGTGCAGTAATAAAAGTCTGATGCCTTAGTTGATATCGCTACCACCTTCCCTGCTCCAGAATGCTGTTGTGTAGTGAGTATGTTATGATTTGTCAGTGAACTCTTGTTGCAACGTGTATTAGGAGGAAACGTTTCAAATGAACAGTTAAGCACTGATCGTATTTTGTAACGATTCTGGTTACAGGACAGGACCTTGGTATGTAGCAGCTGGTACTGAATACTGAGAGTGTGCAAGTACTTGTAATTTAAAATTAAGAGCAGAATAAACAAAGGAAGGGCATTATATCAGGCCATGGGAGATCTTTATATTTTTTCCATATTCATGCAGGGTGTCTGGAAATTCAAGGCTACAACTTCGACCATGAGATTTCTTGTAGATTATTGAGACAGAAATTTATTTCCCTGAATACAGTTTTGACCATTGCACGATTTTCACAAAAAAATGTGATTTTTGAAAACATTGCATTCAACTTTAATCGCATTTTATGCAAGAACTGTGTATGCATCAATCAGAATTTTATCTAGGGACATTTTCAGTTAATTGTTCATGGAGTCAGTGTATGGTGGGATGAATTTCAGAACATCCTGTTTATGACTGCGATATGAACAGCTCTTTTGTTTTGAGTGTAATATCATGCCTCACAGGGAAACTACAAAAATAATTGAAATTATTTAGAAATATAAAAAAATGCCAAGGAGAATATTAAACAGTGCAGACCATTGTTGTTTACACTCATGACAGCTGCAGACACATCCGAGGCTGACCTGCCATGCTTTACAAGCATTATTAACTTTGTTTCGTGTATATATGTTAGATAATTAAATATTTTTGGTCAGAATATAAACTTTCATGTACTCGTACCACACCAGTATTGAAGCATCTTAACGCACAGACAGTCGTTAGTTAGCTGTCTGATGATTAATAGTTATGCTTATGGATGTTACTTTATTGTAGTACGCTCCTGCTCGATGAGAAGCGACGACTGGAAGCGCGTATTGCAACTTTGGAGGAAGAGTTGGAGGAGGAGCAGAGCAACTCGGAAATCCTCATGGACCGAGCACGCAAGGCACAGATCTCTATCGAGCAGCTCACGACAGGTGAGCATCACTCCGTTCCACGTTACTCATCTAGCCATTACAGTACAAAGGTGTTAAGTTTGGATGTACAGTTAGTTTACTATCAGAGAATGATTGATGGTTTTTGAGAAAAGATTTTGTTAGGGACTGATCTGTAAGAATATTGTGTGGCGATACAGCATCTCCAGTAATGAAACTATATTTCTCTTATTTTCAATGTAATATTGTGGTCAGAAAGTTTTTAAAAGTTGAATGGTCTCTAATACGAGGGGGTACCCAAAAGAAACCGAACTTATTGTTTTTTAAACTTATTCTTAAGCACAAACCTTCAATCCCCTTCAAAGTACTCTCCACTTACACTAATACACTTGTCTAGTCTTTTATTCCATTTTTCAAAACATTGTCTAAATTCATCTTTTGAGATGCTTGACAGCGCCTCCGTCGTTTTTTCCTTTCATGTCTCTTTTCATTCGAGGAAACAAAAAAAAAAA